AGGATATTTTTCTCTACTCAATTAACATGTTACTTCTAGAATGGTAAATTAAACTTTGAAAAATACAAAACACTTCATGTACCCACAAATTCATTTATGTGCAATTCCCAAATCAACTTGCACAAGCTGCATAGTATAAAATACAAATTCCTCAGGTTACACTAATACATTTTATTGAAAGTAATATCTTAATATCTTTAATTACAAGTAATTCACAATAATTCAAATTCATTGCAGAAGTTAGAAAATTTGGATAGGCAAAAATAAAATAATCATGGGCCGGCCTGGTGGCGCACTGCTACAGTGCACCGCTTGGGAGCGCGGTGGCGCTCCCACCAAGGGTTCGGATCCCACATACAGACCGGTTCCCGCTCACTGGCTGGGCGAGGTGCGGGCGCAACACCGAGGGTTGCGATCCCAACACTGAGGGTTGCGATCCCGTTGCCGGTCCCGGTCCGGTACGGGCGCGACACTGAGGGTTGCGATCCGTTGCCGGACACGGAAAAAAATTAAAAAATAAAAATAAAATAAAATAAAATAATCAGCTACAAAACTACACTCAGAAATAACCACTTAACAATTTGTCACACATTCTTCCAGATGTCAATATATTTTTGGTTTTTTTACCAAAATGGAATTGTGCTTTTAAATCACTTACATATAGCAAGACATCTTTTTATCTTACGTTCTTCTAACATCATTTTAATGATTGAGTAAATAGTACCCCACTGTAGGGATGTACCCTAACAATCACTGTAAAAAATATTTAGGTTGTTTACAATTTTACAGCATAGTGATCATGAGTCACACTGGTTGTATTCAAGTCCTGGCTCTATCCCTTACTAACTCAGCTACCTTGGCAGGCTAAAACTGTACCACCAAAATCACAAGTGTCACAGTGTAAGTCAGCTACCCCATTTCTCTATGCCTCAATTTTCTCTTCTTAAAAATGGGGATAATACCCACTTCATATGATTACTGTCAGGGATAAATGTGTTAATACACAGCTTTTATTAGCAACAGTGCTGCAACTGCTAAATCTTTGCGCATATCTTTATGACATCAAGATAAATTCCCTTAAATGGGAATTTCCACATTAGAAGGTATGTCCATTTTAAGACTTTTTAGTTTGCCAAATTACAGCTTGGTTTAAAGCCCTTCATTAAATAGCCTTCTCACTTAATACTCATCTCTCTTTATCCAAGAGGGTGAAAACTATGATCCAGTTAAGCGATCTTGTTTCACTCAATTAGCTTTTGCTCTTCTGCTATGTACCTGCAAATCTAGACATATTTCATAAAACCACAGTTTGTAAGAACCTTGAGGACACCTAGCCCAAACCCTCCTTTAGTACGTCAATTCCTCTACTCTAGAATTCCCAACTTGGACACTGTCAGTGAACACGGGCATCCAAAACAACACATTCTATTTTTATAGTTTTGAGAAAATTTCTCTTGGAAGATAGTTAAAATCTGCCTCTTTCTATCTTCTACCCATTGATCCTAGTTTTTTTCTGGTCAGAGCGAACCTGATCCTTCCATGCGACACACCTCCAAATATTTAAAGGTGGCTATCATTTCTTAGAGGAGCTTCTTCCTTTTAGGTCAAACATCCCGTTTTTTTCAACATTTCCTCTTTTCAATTTCCCCATGATCAAGGTCCTCTGGATATGCTCTATAGTTCAGTGATTTTTAAACTTGTATATCTATCACGTTGGGAACTTGAGAAAAACAGAAGCCTAGGTCCTATCCTACTTAAGCCTCTGTGTGTGTGTGTGTGTGTGTGTGTTGTGTGTGTGTGTGTTATTAGCTTTACTTAAGTCTGTGTGTGTGTGCGTATGTGTGCATGTGTGTGTGTGTTATTATCTTTCCAGGTAGTTCTGATATAAAGTTTGAGAATGGATGCAAGGGTCCCACTTATAACATGATAGTATGCTTCCTAATAACCTGACACAATACCCCAGGTATAATACAACCAGTACAAAGTAAAGTGGAACGCCTTGCTCTTTCTATATGCTGTTCTACCAACTTAGAAATTATTTACCATTTTAAAATCATACAGTAAAAAAACAAAAAGAAAAACAGAAGAAAAAACAAATTAAAAAAAATAAAAATTATACAGTAAGGTTGATTCATATTAAATGTACAATCAGTTAAAATGATCAACTCTTCCACAGTATCTATTTGCGCATTAGTATCTGGGGCCCTAACTGCCTGCCTTTACACTTACTTCTATTAAAAGGTAAGGCTATATCTAACGCATGCAAGAATAAGCTAAGTATCTCAGTCCATTTGGGCTGCTATAACAAAATACCATAAACTGGGTGGATTACAAACAACAGAAAATCATTTCTCACAGTTCTAGAGGCTAAGGTGTCCAAATTTAGATTTCTCTTTCTAAATGCATCAATGGCCCAATGGCTTTTATCTTTAGTGAAGAAATCACTTCAAGCTTAAGTCTCTAAACTTATGTCATGGACAAACTCAGCCCAAATAAAGGTCCTCTAGCCCACCAACAATTGAACTGACAGCTGATTGCACCAAAGTATCTCCTCTGTGCAGAGCACTGTAGTGTGAACATTTTGAAGAAACCCACAGGCCCTAATCTGATCCTAGTACTAGGTTTATCTTCTAGAGAGCATGATGGAACAAACACCTTCAGGAAAGTTAATAATAATACTAATTAGTTGTCCCAAGGTAGACACATTAGTGCTACAGAAACGTTAGGATTACTGGTTGGAAAGCCATGGGGGCTGAGGAATGATACTTATTAGAAAACTAATCTGCCCTAAGCTTCAAGATTTTGTTTGTTTTTTTTAAATGTTAGCTAAGTGAGAGAGAGGATCTAGAGCCATCAGTGAGTTCATCTGTACTCAGGCTATTTGCAAAAGGAGAATGGATGAGAGCTGTATGAGCCCTCAAAAATGGATTCATTCAAGTGGTGAGAATTCACTTGAAGAGATTTCAATGTTGAAGGGATACATTTTGAAAGTATATATGCTCCTATTTTGTTTTTCATAAGTCAAAGTGGCATTTGCTCAGAGTGCATTATGTGCATTGTATGTAGATGTAAATAATTTTTAAAATACTTTAATAAAAAATAAAGAAACTTTTAATAAAATTAATTCATGATTCAAAATTTCATGTAATAATTTCTGAATTCCTCATAACATGTTTGCTTTATTTGTTAGTACTTCTAACTTACAAGGCACTCAAGACCGGGGTGGCAGAGTCCATTCTACTGGAGATGTGGCCCATTAGAAAGAAACTAAAAATGCCAGAGGGTAAAAACAACTAAAATCAAGTAAAATTAACCAAGATCCAATCTATTTTCATGTGAAAAACAAACATTAAAAATACACCTGGCATTTTCTAACAATTACAAGAAGAATGCCAGATGCTTCCTGTTGATGGAACAGTAGAGAACTACAAACTGACAGATTCAGACTAGAGTTCACAGAAACAACTGGAAACAAACTTAGCTTCCTTTCAAAACTATTAAACTAAGGCAAATATAGCTTTAAATTTGTACACACTGCAATAGTATAATCGTTCCCTAACCTAGAAAACCCAGATTAATTCGGAGACAGAATTCTAAGGGTACATATATGCAAATTATTCGTTACACCGAAGATTTTACCGCAGGATTATTTTTAAATCTGGAGATCCTACAGTGTTTTGAAAGTGTCCTATCTACAAATATTACATCACACAAAACTTCACAAGCATATCTAACGTGGAATTCACATCTTACTGTGTACATCATTAAAAATATGAACTGAAACTAAAAATTAAGTTGAATCGCTTAGAACGTTTCAAAATGTTACTGAGTCTCCACGTTCATATGCAGATTATGCAATCTATATCTGTGATATTGTTTATGCACCTAAATACCAATTCTTAAAAAGTCAGAGCCCAAGAAAAAGGTGTAGGAATCAACTTTTCTATCCATGTTTTTTAAATGTGTCTTGTCTATATCTGTGATATTGTTTATGCACCTAAATACCAATTCTTAAAAAGTTAGAGCCCAAGAAAAAGGTGTAGGAATCAACTTTTCTATCCATGTTTTTTAAATGTGTCTTGTATAATATCCTGATTTGATTTGTATGGTGAAAGCAGGATAGAAATGACATATTTGTTTTAAATAATAACTGTGGTGATTGTAGAGCTAAAAAGAAAAAAAAAAAAGCATGAGTGTACAGGAGTTTTCAAGAGGTTACATGGTGTGATACCACAACAGACTGAATGCAGAAGAGATTTAAGAATCTAGCTGTATTCTGCAAACCATCAAAGATTTGCAGAAATGCGAAACAATGTCACATTTGCCTAACATGTCATTTACATTAACATATAATGGATTGTTTTTGAAAAATTAATAAATACTTAAAAAGAGAGAAAAATTAAGAAAAAGAGATAAAACCGTCCTTAGTTTCCTTAAACTCAAAGTCTGAGCCTCAAAGTGGAAGTGCCAAAGAGGATGGCTATACGTCAGTGAGAAATTTAAACCCAGCTGGCTAGGTCTTTACGCGAAATGAACGCTGCAAAAAAGAATTTCCGACCGCTAACTTCTGAACAATAAATTTGGATACATCTTTAATCGTGGATGGCAAATTACTTTACAAGGACCGTTTACGGACTACACCAAAGCTCTTTCCAGATAAAAAGTGTACTTCTCAGAAAGTAACTTGCCTGAATCGAGACAGCAAACCAGTGTCCGGCGAGAGGACTTAAAATATTTCCACATTATCAAGCCCCTTCAGAAGTACTGAGGTCTCTGCCCCTCCTTTGAACAGATGTCTGCTCGCCACAGTCCAATCAGGTTTAAAGCAAGAGTTATGTGTACTGAAAACAAGCTTAAAGTGGGAAAACACACACAAAGCATGCCTATATCATTCCTTTGGTTTCAGTTTTCACCCTTGAGGCTAGGCACGCTGATTCAACAATGTTGGAGAGCTCCAACGAAACACACTAAACACAATAACTAAGTGTGTCCAGGCAGAGATGACCTGGCAATATTTTCAACTTCTTTCCCGATGCCGTGCACCCGCAGGTCCTGCCAGCGATGTCTCTGGGGCAGAAGTCCCGACCGAACATTCAGAACGACAGCCTTCGTCCCCTCAGAACTCGAGTCCCCACAGCCGAGGCTGTGGTCGCGGTGGCCCCACGCGGGAAGAGCTCGGCTCTGCAGTTAACCCCGTCCGAGCCGGCCGTCCCCACCGCGGCCCGAGCGCCTCCGGCCCCGCAGCACAGAGCGCCCTAGGCCGGCCGCCCTTTCCCGGCTCTGGAAAGCCCGGCGGGGCCGTCAGGCCGCCCAGACAAAAGGGCCGGCAG